TGTGATAACTATGCCCTAAACAAAAGAAAATCGGAAATCGTATTAAACAGTAATAAAAATTGATGACATTTGGTGAGGGGTCATTATCCACCATAAGGATCATCCATGAATTTATTCAGGATTTATTGACCTCTGGGAGTATTTTATGTGATTTATGCCCTTGGTTTTAGCAATAATTTTTAATAAATCAAGTAAATAATAAAAGCTCTTGAAATTTTCTTGATTATCTCATGCATGTGAGGGCTTTCAAAAGGAAAAATGTTAAAAATGTATTCAGAAGAAAAATGAGGGTAATGAATCTAAACAAATTAAAAAAGGTTGCATGCAATGATGCATCAAATGTAGATGTGGTTGAAGTTCAAGAATTTGTGTAGCCCATTCAGTGAGGTTTTAAGCCACGAAATTTCAACCATCATTCACTAGATATGTTAAGTTTCTAAGTTATATTTCCTCAGATTTATGGTTGGGTTTAAGGCCATTGATTATGCAACACAAAAATAGTGATCACAGAAAAAGAGCTGTATGCGCAACCATTTTGTAAAAATTGCCAAAAATCGGATATTTAATATTTTACAGTAAGACCAGTTGGGTTTGAAAGTTAACTCGTGGAACTAGCCAATACAAAAATAATGTCATGATTTGGTTAAGAAATGACTGAGTTATGGCCGTTCAAAGTGGAACAAAGTAATCTGGCAGATTGCATATTTGCTTGTGTGCATTATTAGGCTATTTCAACAAGAACATCATGCATGTCTTTGGTAAGGTCCGATTTCTAACACATGCATGGAATGAATGATCATCCAAGATGTACTAGAAATGGTTTAAATGCTTTTGGTCATGCATGAACACAAAAGAAATGGAGAAGAACATGGAATATTAGGTTTTGATGTCACATGATCATATGTGCATCTTTTTCACTCCTTGCATGGGTTTGATCCTGGATTTTCACCATCTCTAACACATGCATTGTGTTATGGTGAGAATCTACAAACCACAAGTGAAAATATAAAGATTTCTAGCCATGGAATGGCATAGAATCCGAAAAGAAGAGAAAACTAAGAAAGAAAAGAAGTAAAATCATGTAACTATGGAAAAAGATGATTTGTTTACCTTTGTTATGATCTTGAGGGAAGTAAGAACACTTCAAGGGCTTCACAATCTCGAAATTTTGCAGAGGAATGAGAGGATTTTCGTGAGTTTAGAGAGAGGGAAGAAGAGAGTGAAGTGTGTGAAGAGTGGAGTGTAAGAGAGTGAAGAAATAAGAGGTGGAGTGAGGGTTTTGACTTAATGATTGTGTTTTGGGAAGAGAGAGTATGGGGAGGGGAGATGGCCGATTCTTACATGCATTTAGGCCTCCTCTCTCCAAAATTTTAAACTTTATAAACTTCACCTCCATCATTTATATAAAAACATTCATTTTTTTTTTATAAAAATGCTTATTAAGCAATTTGATTTATTTAAAATCTTGTTTTCAACAAATAAATTATGATTAATACTTGGTAATTTAATTTCTATTTCATTGACTATAATTCATAATTTGATTAATAACAATTTGATATTAGGAAGTTTATACCCAAATTTTATAAAGGTTTTAAGCTTTATAATTTATAACTTTGGATTTTTGGCTCTTTAGGGTTTTTGGAATATTGTTTGATATTCAACAACATGTTGAAGTATAATTAGAATGTTTTAATTTATTTTTAGGGTTTTATACCCTATTTCAATTATAACAAAGCTTGAAGCTTTATTCTAATTATAGTATTGGCATTTCCTATTGTAGTTAAGCAACTTACTAGAATTGTAAGTATCAAGTATATTAGTCCTAGACCTTAGTTGGATCCTAGTTTATGCAAGATTTTTGACCTAATTTATACTACTAGGTCATGGCATGTTGTGCATGAATGGTTTTTATAAAGATGCATGAGTCCGAGAATGACCTGAATTGGCAGTTGTCACACGAGCCTCCACGACTCATTGTGTTTTGAAGCCTTAATGGATCTCTCATCATGAGGATTCCTTCCCAATCAGGCTATATTCACATTAGTCACTGAGTTACCTTACTCTTCTGATATCGAGTTAAGTGTTTATTGTTTGGTCCACATATAGCAGAGGCATATTTTGTTTCTTAAACCAATCTTTTTTATCATAAAATTCTTTCACGATCACACACTATGACATATACCCAAGAGATCTCTGGTTCGAACCAACCAGGATTTAGGTATATCAAAAGTCTGTATTTATGATCCAAATTCATGAGACCGTGATGATGGTGATACCCAACATTTTCAAATCCTTGAGAAAGTGACGGTGAACTTGATGTTCAAGATTTTCACGAAACTTTTGTTTTAGTACCACATTTCCATATTCAAAATCATATTCTTTCGATATGAGTGGTCTTCATAAAGTGTTCTAAACCCGACATTTTTGCACAACAAGATCTAGTCTTGAAAATTTCTTTTGGAATATGATTTCCATTTGAATATTTGTTTGAACTTTAGTTACTTATAATTTTTTCCGAAATCCTACTTGTCACTGACTACACTCGTCAAACAAGTAATTTTGTTTACAATTACTCACACATATGTTGAGTTGTGATATGTAACAAAATTTTGCTTACCAATGAAGCCTTGAAAAAGAAGCCCTTCGATACTCTTGTATGAATATTTGATTGTAATTTACGGGAAGCCACCCAAGCTTTTCAACATTTTTCTTGATGTAGAACGAAGTGATCTTTACCTGGGATCTAACTGTCTTTATGTCGATTTTTAATTGACATCACAGATCCAATTTTTCTTAATCTTGATCTCATCTTATACCTTGACATACTTATGTACACTCTGAAATCCTTCAGGTTGTAAGTAATACCAACTCAGACTGATGATTTCGAAAATTATGAGATATGAATTCACTTCGCTACCAAAAAGAGAAAGAGCTCAACCTCCATGCCATAAGTTCTCTGATGATTCTTATCCCATTGGGGAATGTGAAACGATTGATTTGTGTGACAGTTTGGTTACTTCATGATTTTCAAGGAAAAGTGTTCATCACTTTCTAGACATGGTTAGTTTTACGGCTATAGACCCGATTTTCAAGGAAAAACGTGTCATGATTTTATTGTTTAATCGCTTCAAATTCAAACTTAGGGTTTACGTATAAAAGGGTTTTGGGTGATCTCATTCCAAGTTTACATGATCAAGATAAAGATTTTCCGAATTTTATTTTGTTATACGCTCTATACTATCAAATCTCTTCAAACCCTAACAATAGCGACCATAAAGGTTAACATTGATCCTTCCCAAAACCACAGATGAAGCCACATCTCAACTATTGATGAGTACTAATTACCGAATTCAACCTGATGTTAGCAACTACCCCAAGGAACTACAGATGCTCATTGTAGCCTTGAATAACTCTGTCTTATCTACAGTTATGTCGGCATCCTTCTCGATTCCGATGACATGGCTATCACTTTTTTCTTCTACTGATGTGTTTAACAAGACAACCAAGGTGGTTACTTTTCAATTGACCAATGAGAAGAAGTGTAAGTTGTCCAAGAAGTAGTTTGCCCAAATCTTCAATATTCCTAATGTCGAACCTTTCTATGAGGTTACATATGAATAGGTTTTTCATATGGTCAATGAGATGGTCATCAACCACCTCTTACCAGAATGAGTGACTTCAAGAAATCATCTCTACCTTGCATATGGAACTTTCTATTTGGTATCTTCCTTTGATGCTTGATAGGTCAAAGTGTTGGATTGGATAAAGCAAAACTCGATGTCTATGCTATGGTCGTAGGATTGTATTATGATTACAGGTTGATTATGCAACCCAGTTATGGCAAGAGTTTGGAAACAGCATTGCTAAGATCAATGTTGTGAATGGAGTCTCTTGTGCTCGTTCTCGGAGCCTGATTTTGAAGTTTGTATATGAAAAGGAAGGGATCTTGGTTCATGTTGAAGATCCTAAAGCTGAGTTCGGTGTATATCAACATCCTAAAACCGTGGAGGATGATTTAGAAGTTTTTTCAACTTTTTCGAGGATCCCTGATGCAATGATTCGCAAAGTAGATCCTGTTGATCCTGTTCTTATTGCCTATCTTCAAACCATCAATCCTTCGATAAGATTGGTGTGTTATTGGCGAAGGGAGTTACTGGTCCTTCCAAAAGAACCAAGGGCCCAAAGAAGTTTATACAAGCTAGTCCATCGAAGCCTGATCCTTCTCCTAAGAAGGTTGTAACGCCAATTTATGTTCCTACTTCAAAGGAGGTACTAAACCTGTTACTAAAGAAACTTCTTGACTAGCCATGGAGACCATACCTTCGAAGTCTGGTGTTCTCAAATGATTAAAGAAAATATCTCACAGGCCTGATCGTTCACCAAAAAGGCCTGTTATCGAAGTAGTTTCTGAGAAGTCTCCATCTTCAACCAAAAGTATATCTATTTCGAAGAGGATTCGTAAGCATCAACTATGTCAAAAGGGTGTAACAATTCATGAGATTCTATCTCCTGTTTCTCCAACCTCTAAGAAAAGAAGACCTCACGAAATGGTGAATAAGATTCAGAAGAAGCAAAAGAAAATTAAAGATCCATTGGATGAGATAGTTATTGAAGGTCATGTCGATGAAATTGTTAAGTCTTAATTTCCACTTCGACATGATGATATGGGATTTTTATCACAACAGACGGACACTCCAGTCAATTTCACTTTCGAGGCGACTGGAAGTCCTGATGGCAATGTGGAAACATTTCATGTGGACACAACCATCAATCACAATGATCATTCGCAATTGTCCTTCCCTGAGTAGACTTCAGTCATACCACCAGAATTTTCGCAATCCAAGCCTAACATGGAGGAGGTGTGAACTTCAGGCATCACTACGAACATATCTGATATGGATGCAAATGTGAATAAGGGTGATGGGGTGTCTACTTCTCAAGCCAAAGGTACTTCAAATTCAATTATCATCTCATCTACCTTTGAAGCCTCTTGTATTGATATGGGTACTTTGTTACCACCATTTCATTCAAGTATTTCCACTTCCTTACCTCAATCAACAACTTCACCTACCTTTCAAAACATTCTCAATCAACCAATCGCATCTTTGTTTCCTTCGCAATCCACTGAAGGACCAAAATCCATTCCTGATACTACAACAGAGGATGATGACGTGTGTGTTTCTTTTGCTGAACTTTAGTTTTATCCAAAAGAGGAGAATAAACCAGATCATATGCTAATTTCTGGTAAGCAATTCAAGATCCTCAACCACAAACTTAATTCCTTACTATAGCTTTCAGTTGATGCGGGAAGTCGAAACAACGTCACTAGAATTGAGGTTGATGTGATGCTCAAGGCTCAAGAACTTCGACTGAAAGCAATGATGGATCAAATGAACAAAAGCAACGAACTTCAGGTGAAATTTCAATTCGACTTGTTTAATCATCAAGTCAAGGATTTACGAGCTATTGCAAAAGAATGTCATATTTTATTTGTTCAAGCTGTGAGGAGGGTTTAGGAGGATGTAAACTTGAAGATCGAACAAATTTAACAAGAAATGATGTAGGAGGTTGCGAAGTTTGATCAATACTATTCTAACCTTCATACTAAGGTAGATATAGTTGCTAATGCAGTAGCGAAGCTTATTGAGTATCATACTTCTCTATATTCTAAGGAATTTGTAGATCTTCAAGGCTTATAGGCAGAAGTGGAGGAGATGATTTTGAAACCTGGTATTCCTCCTTCTTTAATAGTTTCTCAAGATTCTATCTCACAAATGATTTCTTCGTCTGAAACTTGTTTGAAGGATGTTTTTGATCCTCTCTTGAATTTTATAAATTTGATGCCCACATCTGCCTTACTTGTTTCCACAGGGGTGCAAGGGGGAGAAAAGGGAGTTGGTGCATCAAAGATATGAATCAAGGGAAAGTTGTTGCATGGTAGAGTTATAAGCTAACAAATTCCTACTACAATTCCAACATCTACAACAGTCACTTGAACAACCATAACTTTGAAGCCGTTGAAAGGAAAGTGTTTTTACAAAACCAACTACCAAAGAGTAAGCATTGGCCTTGGAACATGAAATGCAGAAACAAAGAAAAATTCATACTATTTTTCGACAAACATAGAGTGATCCTCCTGGTCTTGATAAGTGTGATCCATCTAAACATTCCAACTATGAAACAATTGAGGCTAGAGTGGAGTTATGCATGAGTTTGCTAATGTTCTTAAAAAGAGTTTTGATATCGAAAGCTCAGATTTTAATCAGCTGGACTTCCCTATCAACGACATGATGTTCATTTCTTCATAATATAAAATTGTTGATAAATTTGAAGACAATGAAGAATTTAAAAGACTGAATCTTACATTCCATGTGGTTCTTGGAAATAGAGAAGAAGAGATTTGGTCTTTGGTGAAGATAGTGAAATATTTGAATATCTCAAAGTATGTGTTATTCGAAGGGGTACTATAGAATATCAAAATTCATGCTGTCCGAGCCAACAATGTTGCTTTCGATTTTTCAGTGGCATATTTTACTGTTACAATTGGCACTTTTGCTAGGAGTTTCTATTCTCATGAAACCACCAACTATAGTAAGGCTTGTAGTCTAAGTGAATGCTATACCTTGTCCTCGTTCAAATACCTCTTATAGGTTCAACTAGGGGTTGGAAACCGTAGGAATTCCGGTTCAAGTTCCTTATGAACTAAAATTCTCCTATTGGGCATAATGGACCAATAAGCCTTCAACTTGACCACTTTAGGCCCTGATGGGCCATAAAGGGGTTTAGTTACCCCTAATGGACCCTAAACCCATTTCTTTTACCATGTTGGGCCGTGAGTCTCCTTAAGAGCCCAATGGGCCGAGAATTTATTTTTGGGCCTCATAAATTCGGCCAAGACCAACAATGGGCAAAAACACCTCATCCTCAATTACCTTAGCCCAATCTCGGCCCAAGATCATTACAAAAAAAAAAAAAAAAAAAAGAGATGAATTATCCTAACCTTGCCACCTCAATATTGCATGGTGGTCATCCATGCATAATAACCACCATACAACAAGGTAGATTCATGTATCTAGGCAAGGAAATCCTTACTTTCTCTCCCTTCTTCAAACTCACGGCCATAAGGCCTTTCTACCTCCACATTTCATTCTAAAACCCAACATTTTCTCTCATCATTCCTCTCAAACACTCTTAAGAAAAACCACCCTTCTTTCCTCTCAATTTTTCGAGATTTTAAGAATTTCAAGAAGGTTTTCCCACCTAGGTCATCATCTTTGGTAAGTTTTCATTATATCTATGATTTCACTCCTTGATCTACTCAAAAATCTCCTCTTACACCATACTTTCGTGAATCATACTCTTATAGCACCATAGAGCTCGAAAATCATCTCCATAACACATCTAGGGTCGAGATCTCTTCACTTCTTCATCAAAACTGACTTCCAAACCCCAAGGTGAGCTTCATACCCCCTTATTTTCGGTTTTATAAGTTTTTGTGGGGGAGAATACAAGCAAAGGTGTAGATCCATCATTATGTGTATGTGTTGGTTGATTTCTATGCTTATATGTATGTTTTGTATGATTTTGATGCTAGATCTAGTTATGAATTGCTAAAAACCGAGATATATCTTATACTAGCATGAAATACACTATTACATACAAAGTATACCAAGAAAAATAGCTAAGTGGCTTAACAATACATACTTTGGGCTAAAAACTCATTTTTTTGACATAAATGTTAAAAATACAAAGTTAAAAGGGCCCAAAATGAAATATTTCGATACCTGATGGGGGAGATGAGTCAAAACAGATTCCATAATGTATTTACTGAAAATATACTCTTTTGGAAGATCAAAAACATAAATTTCAAGCTTAATGGGCTAAAAATGACAATTTCGGCCCAATAGGGCCCATTATGCGAAATTTTCTGTTTTGGAGGGCCAAAACTGTGTTTTCCTGTAAAACAGTGGACTATTAGTGTTACATGTACTTTTCAAAGGTTTAAAACACTTTTCAAATTTAAAAAGGACCAAAGTTGCAAAAATTTTCCAAATTGGGCCAAAAATGTAAAAATTGTGAAAAAGAGGGGTTATAACCGAGAAAACTGCAATTTCAGGGACTTAAACTGTTTTAAATGAAAAATATGCTGAAAAATATTAAATTCAATAATTTTTGGTGTTAAAATGTCAAGAAAAATGGTCTAAGGACTAAACCGGAAAATATTTTACCTAAAGGGGTGAAAAAGTAAATTTACAAAATTAAGAGGGATTGTAAACAGAAAATTTTCAAGGGTAATTCAATACACTCGTTGTGAACAAAGATTGACACTACGACTCTCGATAAATTCCAATACACAATATCACCAACAATCGTTATCAAACAAATTGATTCGGTCTCGAATCAATAACAAATCCAAAACTACTAACACTATAACGCTCAATACACATATGAAACTCTTGGAACTCTTTACTCTCGTGGAATTACTCAATACGTCGACGTACACTCCTTAGGCCCAAAAGTTGCAAATCATGCTTGTCGAGCCTAGCTAGCCCGATGACATGATCTTTAGGCCCAAAGGACACTTGCTTACATGTAGTTGGGTCTAATACGACTCGACCGCGTGTAAAAGGACTTTCAATGGCAAACATGCTGTTGGTCCCCAAGGGTCCTTCAGTGCTGCTAGTAAAGTCGGGAACTCACGATTGCGGGTTGGGCTTCGGGCCCTTCGCAATTGCAATGGTCTTGAACGACGCGGGGAAATACCGAGGGTTTCGCACCTTCTCTTCTTCCCTCCGGTCGTGGGACTACACAAGTCCGGGAGGATTGAGTTGTGTGAATAACTGCGAGTGATGCCTAAGGGATCGCTTGTAAGGTTGTCGACTGGACGTTTTCATTAACGGATGTCACAACAATTCACCACCCACTGTATACTCAATGCCTCCGGAGCTCAACGAATACCTCTAACGCAACGAAATAACAGCACACAAACTAAGTAAAGCAAAGTGATGGGAAAACTTCGGGTTTTCCTAGGGTTTTCAACTAATACACTTACGAATTACATGCCAAATTTTACAACTCGTACGCTTACATCTATAGAAAACAAACAAGCATACTTACGGATCTTCACACTTTTTTTCACCATACTATTTTCAGAAAATATCGGATTTTCTGGTGATTTTCGAAACGATACAAACATTGGATTTCAAACATTACTTATGAACTCACAAACATTTCATATGTTGACGTTTTTCAAAATACTTGTATTCTCAGGTAACAGATAAGTCGAAGGGATAAGTGTACTCAGTGACGTTTTGCTGCTTGTTTAATTAGTACCGAACAATCTACTTTTTGGGCATGTAATGTTAGGGAACAATGTACTAAATGTAAATGCTACCAGTTGTATTATTCCAATGCTTGGTGATGTATAATGTTATGTTTCATGTATATTCATTGTGATGGTATTCAATTGAGTCACAACAGCCCCCGGACGTTTCCGCCGTCTGGTTCGGGGGTGTGACAGGTTGGTATCAGAGCTCTGTTTATAGTGAACTAGCATATCTAACCATACATTGATATGCAACTATAAACCAAAAGAGGGACTAACATAACTCTGAACAAAACAAGTAAAACATAACAATTAAACACCCTTGCTTGTATTAGGAATGAGAACCTAACACCGAACCAAACAAGATAATGCTAGTATCTCGGTTAATCCAGGACTGTTCTTGGTTGTATCAAGGAGCAGATGTAGCCTGATCAACTACATTCCCTCCAAGGTACAACCATCACATGTCAGCTAGGGAATCTAAAAATATACCCCTTAATCTCCAAAAAGGGAACCCCAACTAAATCTATGCAATAGTTGTAGGATTATAGGACTAATTAGTATGCAATTTGATTCTAGTATTCATAGTCCTTCGTGCAATACACTATAGAAAAGTATCATTAGTCAGGAAAACTCTATCCCCCTAGTCAAGGAACAGTAGGGTGGCTCGATCCAGAGGAAGAACCGCAGGAGGAACACGGAGTAGAACTCGCAGGTGAACCCGCTGAGACAATAGTGGACCTCGAGGAGGAAGAGCCCAAGGGCAGAGATGATGATGACTCGGATGCATAATCTGATGTCATTAACCATCCATGAAAAGCCAGAGTACCGACTTATCGTGTGGGCCCCAGTGGCCCCATGCCCCCTTGGGCATACGAAATTTGGAAATAGAGTCACCAGCAAGGGATACGACCACACTAGGGCAGGAACCGAGGTCTCTCCGACCATCGGCCATAAAGGACCCGTTGACCAGGCCCTCCCAGTCTTGGTCTGATGCACCCGAGGTACTGATAACCAAGCTCAGGACACCCCAAATCGAACGAAACAATTGTGGTTTGCTAATAGGAGGGATGAAAGGCAAACACGGGAAGTGAATGGAGACTCTCGAGCGAGACAGTTAGTTTGGGAAGTACACCTACGAGATACTGAGCAACAAGTAGCTCGTCTCCAAGGTGCATCCACTTCACCAGCACCACCACCAGACACTTCCCGCCTTGATTAGGATCAACCTTTTTCTAGTTCCCCCCTACTATTCGACATGACTCTCTTTCGTGTACTGAGATGGTACTTACCCCTGAAACAATTAGGTGCTATATTCATTTCACATTACTGCAAAGACTCAATAATATGCACAAGCGAACCCTCAAGACCGCTAGACACTCAAGGATCTCAAAACCAGAACAACCTATATACTCTAAGGATAGACGCAACGATCATGCCAAATATGTGATTACGTACTACCGCAAATACATCATAGCGATGTAGATGGAAACACAGGAAAATGCCATCCTGCAAGGATAACAAGCGCGCCCGCGAGACACCGCTCCTGCAGATGGACTCTGCTGCATTTCAAGCTGCTGTAATGGTGGC